TCATAGAGTTAGCCACAATCTGCAATTCTAGCCTCCTCAAACTGGGCCAGGCTAGCCTTGTCATCTTTTGCCTGGTTTTCTGCAAAAACTGGGCGTTTTTGACAATTCATTGTCATTGCGGAGTACATTTAAAAACGTTGTCTTTGGCTATAGAGTTGTCCCTTTGGTGTACTTAAAACCTTGCTTACAGCTATAGAGTTAGCCTTCATGTAGTTCCAAATCATCGGGGGATGCCTACGATGATTGATCTATGTATAGTATGTTCAGACGTATATACGTATATTTGGAACACTGCAGGTGGTGCAGGAGTTTTCCATCAGTAGGTCTTGGCAGACTTCTTATCAAAGCCTTCAAATAGGTGAACATCTGACATCTGTGAATCCCTAAGACCACAGCAGAGTTCCCATCACACCTCTTTCGCCATTCCAAACGACTATGTCTTTGTTGGAGTGCTCCGCCATCAATCCGTACATGTGCACCTGACTCTGTGCCCACCGGGCAGGTTGCACTTGTTATTGCTAGACATTGCTATACGCGGCACAAGCTTGAAAAAAGCACCGCCTAAGATTCACATTCCGGAATCAAGTGATCAAAACAGTTTCTGGTTCTATACGATTCTAGTTTGATCTGCTGCAATATCAAACAAACCCACACGCTCACAAACACACATAGAGTCTCTTCTCATTGGGTACGTGAAGTCAAACACATTCCAACATACTATTATACCCATGTGGAACGACACAAGATACGGAGTTAAAAGAGCAAGGCAAATTGTGCTCATGGCAGCTGGCACTTTAACGAGTACCCAAGGACCCATAAATATCGAGAGGCTCAACATGTCAAAATTCATCGATGGACATTCTCTCAGTGTCTCAGTGGCATTCCCAATCGACCCAGCCAGTGATGGTACGACTCGTCATCAGCGAACAGTGGAAGATTGATGAAGATCGTGATGCTTCCAGGGTGCTGATCCCTTCCATCAGGCTGCATTCTTTCTCATCCAGCTCAATATGTAATGTTTTAACAAGCTGATCCATTTTTTGCGCTCTTTAAACTGGATGTCAGCTCTGCAGATCGCAAGCGGAAATTACATGTACGTATCTGCAGAGAGCAGCCTGAACCAAGAGGGATTAAACTTCCCAAACAGCCCCCGCATCTGTCGCGGAAGATGTTCAAGGCGCATCGTCGCCGTTGACCACCAAGCAGTGGTTTGAATAGCGCTGTGGTATACAAAGAGCGCCTGGCGATTTGATTGATGGAAAGGAATCAAAAGAACCATTGGGAATCCAGCAAAGCAGCATGTCTCCATGGTTTTGCCCCACCTTCCGGGCAGTACGGATGAACCCGATCGGAGATTACAAAGAATTTGCCAGTCATGTCCATCGCAATATCCTCATTCAAGCTATCAACCTATCAAACTCCTTGAGGGCAGCAAATGCATGCAAATGCTGCTTGAATCTTCTCTACAACTAGGCCCATGAAACTCCCTGAACTCTGCGATTGCTCTGCTGCTATGGGCTGCCTGAGTTCTGCTTGCAATGATCGGCTTGCCACAGCCAGGTGTTGTCGGTGATCACCCAACCATTGTTTACTTCCAACATGGTGCCGACACCTGAGACGCTTCAACTCACAGGCAAAACGCTCGCGGTACGATTTGAGTATTGCCGGGGTCTACCGCCCGGCCTTAGCCCCATCTCAAGTGGTCTATCTCGGGATGTTCTACTATGCAGGAACAGCAATGTACGTATTACAATGTATTGCAATAGAAAACATATGTTGTGTATATATATATATATGTTCGTATGTATAGCATATTGACATTATATATATATATAATACACTATAATACATACACATCATGCACTCCTTTCTACTACTGGGTGTACACAAGAGAGGCATGTCAAGCGAAGCCGACGCGCAGCATGAATCGTCCCTCCCAACCTGCCGGGACATCATCAGGACCTCCGACCCTGGCCACGAAGTCATACATGAAGCCTGCAGCTGCAGCGGCCGTGGGTGCTTCCAGCGGTCATATTCAGCTGAGATTTGGACGAAAAGGTGTTGATTGAATGCACCAATTTGTGAATCACGCAGAATCCACCATCGGACAGCAACTCATTGGAACAACATGTGTGGAGACTTGGAGCAAAGGGGTGGCTCTTGGAGCCTAAGTGAGTGGCACATCCTCCATTAACGAAGCACCAACTGCTGGTCTGACCAGTCTTCCTTGTTGCTGGCCATTTTTGGATCTTCTTTTCAGCACAAAAATCCGTGTCCAAACTCATTCCCAGCGTCCTGGATTCTCCTTCTTTCCCGCGTAAGGCGCATCGGGAGTGCCCCACCTATGGCAACGCGGATGGCAAGACACTTGTAGGAAGCGACGGGACCCGACGGTGAAGACAGGTTGATCAATAGAACCCCCAGTATGGAGATGTAGAAGCATCATGGTAGAGTCTGGTAGAGTCTTTTCTTGATGTTTTATGAACCAATGTCTGTAGATGTCTTTGTTTTGTTTCGGGCGTTCCAAACCGCGAAAAACGGTACGACGACAAGGACGCACCTCACGAGAGCCTTCACAGCTTTGGTGTAGTTGGGCGAATTTTGAGGTCCAGCCTGCCTGAGCACCCCCAGCGCTGGTCAAGGTCTGCCTGCTCCTGCTCCCCAGACTTACTTGTGACCTTGTGATCCTTCTATGTTAAAAATTATGTTTTGCGACTTCCAGGACCCAGCACAGGCCCACGCATGCAGGAGACACTTTTGAAACACATGTGTTGATATCATTTGGGATTGTCCTGTCTTTCGGTTCCCTTGGATGGAGATGCCGAAAAGGTGAACTGGGGAAAAGGCACCGCCCTGAAGCCATCTTGCTGTGCCAACCTGCAAGGATGAATCGTAAGAAAGGTGTCTATAACCACTCCCAAAGTTTTCTATCTTCAATCCACATTTTTGCCCAAGGAATTTAAAGGAACAGGATGCGATATTCAATATGGTATTCAATGCGATTTCTCTCAAATTGCTCTATCGATAGGTTTCTTTCGTTTTCTGTAAACCCTGTAGAATGTCGTCAAAAGGGCCATGAGGGCAAGGGTATCGAACATCGTACAGTTTTCCCTTAAATCACTGTTCACATTCAGGGGGTGACGTTGTATATTGCGCTTTCTAGTAGTGGGGTGAGGGTGGGCTTGGGGTGTACGAAATGATAGGGTGCAGGGTCCCAGGGTTGATAGGGGCCTGGCCTGGATCACCGACAAAAAATCAGGGTACAACATGCATTGCAAAATGGGAGCACCTGAGTATGTACGCGCATAAGGTTCAATTACAAACTGAGGTGGCCAACGACTAAGAACCATTGTTTCACCACTCTTCCGCGGCTCTAATCAGAGTTTTTCGGATTCAGTATTTCCATGTATTCCCATGAATTTCATTTACTTCATTGTATCGAAATCAACTACATGTCAGCTTGCTTTCATGCTCTGCTGAGGAACGCAAACACAAGGGAGACTAACCTTGCGATCAGAAAGAACTAAGCAACGCAGCAATCTTGTTGACAAAGTGGCGCAAGTTGGGGGGTGGTTTTTGTAGAAAGCCTGTCTACAAAAGGGGGGTGGCCAAACAAACCGGTTTTGCTGTTATGTTGTACGCAGATTTGCCGCTTCTACTAGTGGCTCCTTCCGTCACAGCATTTCGGTGGGTTTTGCTCGCGGTGGCCTGTCACCCTTGCAACCAAAGAATTATTGTATTTTGCTTAAAGGTGTTGTGAATTTGGTTGCAAGTGGTTTCAGCCAGAGGAATCCATCGCTGATCTTGTTCAGTCTGCACGAGCTTTGATGATTCAGACTAATGAGGGGGTCTATCGGTTTTTTCTGCAGAACACTCTGAGGTCCGCGCAGGAACTCAGAGGTAAAACAAACATGCAAGTCGCGAGTGCAAGGATCATGGAGAGGGGACACAGGGCACTCACGAATGTTTTCAGAATCTAATCCGATGGAGTTCCTATAAGTATCAGCATAGAGCTTCAAACTGGCATTAACAAGAGAAGCCAAGCACGAACACGAGAAGAAGGGTTGAAAGAACCACACAAATCACTGAGTCTACCCAAATTGAAGTAGGGCAAGGTGTTAGCATTCCTTAAAGAATTAAGCATGGACCGTGATTCCCTTTAAGACTGTCAATCGAAGCGGGAGCTGAATTGGCAGGGGCGCTGGCAGGCGCACTTGTGTAAATTCTATTGACCTGCTATTCTGGGAGGTCAGCGGCGGCGGCAGTGGTGGTGGTGGTGGTGGAGGCGATGATTGTTGTTGTTATTGTTGTTGTTGCTGTTGCTGTGGTTGTTGTTTTTCGTGGTATGCTTTCTGGTTGTTGTGAAAGGGACACAAAAAAGGACATGCAGGCCAGTTGGGCGGCATAACTCACACCAGCTACCCCTCACGAGCCATCTTAAAGGAGTGGGTACTCGCCAGGCATGTTACAAAAAAGAGGTAACATTTAAACCTCATGTTTTGCAAAACGTCGAAAAACGCAACACGGTGTTTTTTCGAGGCTTTTGAGCGTGCCACTGTGCCACTTTGCGCACGATCTGAAAACACTGGTATTTGCCAGGTTTTCTGCCCCTCCGTTTTCGCCCTTGCGCACCTGAAATCCTTCTCCCCAGTCGCAGGAAGGGATTACCCGCGGAAAGCTTGGGGGCCTAGCCTCCAACACACTGCCTAGGTCCCAGTCCCGAAGTCTCGATGTGGACTGCTGGAGGTCCGATCGTGATGCCAGTGAATGTATACACAGAGTCACAGAGTTGCAAATTCATGACCCGCTTTGTATGAATTATAAAGAATGGGGTGCCTTTACTTCTCTCACCAAGGTACAGTGGTAAGTCACCAAAGTGTATCAACCACTGAAATGTGTTTCACACTGAGAAAAAGGCATAGAAACGCCCCTTCCTGCCCTCTCTTCGTCCAGGGTGCACAAAGACACTGGCCAAACGCACTCCGTCCACTGCGCCCACCTCATCAGTAAGAGATCGCATTGGTGGGATAGCTTCTGGCCCGAATCCTTGCGGTATTCGTCTGAGAATCTTATCAGCCGAACGGACGCACCAGTTCTTGGTTCACGTCAATAGCCAGTGTGGTTCAACAGTTGCTTGAGATTGTCGCATGACAAGTGGAAGGAACATGCGAAGGCTTCGATCAAGAATTGCTTATCTCAACATGGGATACCCCGCAAGACAGCCGATGTCTTGGGACGTCTCTACCACATCCAGGGCATCACGTGAGAGTAATTTTCGGCATCCACTGATTGGCTTCCAGCCTCAATCACTGCTTTGCCTTCGAAAATGTCCAGTTTCTTGGGCACCAGCGTCGCAAAGCCTTGCCCCGCTGTGGTGCACAAGCCGATTTGCCGCCAAAAACCGCAGCGGTGTGGAAGAAAGGAGAGAGATGAGAAGGTCTTCTTAAGTTCAAAATTACTGCAAGTAGGATGCTATCAGGAGCAAAGGGCATCGCCACTAGCAGCAAGAATGCTACTAGGGGCTCCTGGCCTTACTGCTAGGAGCAAGGACGCTACTAGGAACAAAGGTGCATCGCTACTTGTGCTTCGCCCAGCGGCCCAAACCCAGGACCACAATGTTTGAACGGTTGATGACCTGCAGCGGGACCGACACCCCGCGCATGGCATGCATCTCGCGCCACGCCCACTCGAACGCCTACCACCCCAGCAAAAAGTTCCGTCTATCGCACACTGGTGCGATGCGGCATGCTGGGTATCCGTTAGACTATCTTGAATAAGTATGATGTTCAAATCTGCCGCAATTCTTCTTCCAGAAAACAGTCGAAATCGCTGCAAATCAGGGAACACATTTACTCACCCAGTGCTCAGTGCTCCGCTTCAAGGTATGAATATCTGTGCTTCCCTTGCTATGCCCCAGGCAATTGGCTCCTCCAATTCATAGACGCCCGGAGTAATGACAACATGATGACCTCCAAAGCACTGCGATGCAAAATGACACTCTCACAGCTATGCTTCACTATAGACACACATACCAGCTTAAATACTACAGTGCTGGAAGGTCCAAGGTCTGCCTTTGAATTCATCTTTTAGCACGCCCAAAAAGGTGAGTGGAGCATGGTTTCTCCTTTAACAAGTTTATTGTCTGGAGACGCGCTTTTGAGCCACGTCCATCTCTGTTGTCGTCCTCTGCCTCTCTCCCTCTCTCCCTCTCTGGTTGCTGTATGCCTTTTGTGTTGATTGCGTGGTTGATATCGCTGGCTGTGGTATTCGCATTGGTGACAAACACCTTGTCGAACCCCACCGTACTCCCAGTCCTCAGCATAAAACTCAGTCAACTCCACCAAACGTGCTCCTGCTTGAAAAGGCTTCTGGAAATCGTTAGGCTTGCTGGCGACTTCTCTGCAAAACTGAACGCCGCTATGAACGCCAAGTCTCTGCCAATCTGGCCCTGCATGGTCAGTTAAGACCTTGTGGTGAAGGCATGAAAGAAGGAATGCTTGACACCCAGGTGGATCAGTCGTTGAACCATGAGTGTGATGATCTACATGTTTCATTACGTCTTCATTATGTTTCACTATGTTTAGGGTGTCATTGTGTCACAAGGCTCAGAATGAAAACCTGATCAAACCCGGTGGATCTGTCGTCTTGACCAGTTTGGACAAACACAAAGACAAGGTCTTCTTGCCCATGCACCGTGTGCATACGAACCCAAGCTCAGAAGAAACACAGCATCTTCCAACACAATGAATATTTCCGGTGGGTTGAACGAACTCAGGAACAACAGAATCAGTGGGATCAATCATCCCAACTAAAGGTTTGGGAGTTTGGGAACATCAAAATACTTGTATCTGAAACCACCGCCCATGTATTGGGCCATGGGTCTGTTTGGGAAAACTCCTCTGTGGATTGGACTAGCTTGAACACCTTCTGCACATGCAGAACACCCTGTGCCAGACTTTATAGATCTGCTTGGATTTGATTTAGGAACCGGGAAACTATAAACAACCCCTAGAAGGATATTCACCCATTGGGAAAAACAATTCCCTAAGCAAAACCAGGTCTGTCACCACTGGACCACCCTGCCTCTGGAATGCGAAGCTTGTACTCATCCTGGGCAACCAGCTCCATGGGAGAAGAAGGGAAGAACCATGAATGAACACTCTTGGGATTTCCTTGGCGATTCTTTTGCAATACAGACCTATCACCCACATTATGATGGTCTTCCAGCACAGTACAACACGAAAGGTCAACTTTTAGGCTCGCACCTCTTCAATCATGATGAACGGCTTTTCAGCGAACACCGATGGTGCTTCCGTGTACCTCAGAGCTTTCACGCAGCAATCAGAAAGGGTTTCATGAATTTGATGACCCGCTAAAGGCAGATCTCTGGCACTGGCACATTGAGATACAACAGGATGTTTGCGACGTGTCCTACTTGAACATGCTAGTTACAATCATTTTACATATATATATATACTATAGTATACATATAATACAATATAACACATACATACAACTATACATACATACAACTATACATACATTACATTACATTACATCACATCACATTCAGTACATTACATCACATTACATTCATACATAATACACATGTATACAGTATATAATATAACATAATGTGTTCCTCCAGACTTCTTTTGTTGAAGAGTTGTTGAAGGCTCGTTCTCCATCAGGGTAGGATTCTGCTTCCATTCTGCAGCATCCGTCTGTGTGCATGGCTCCGCACCTTCCTGCAATTTGCCAACTGCGCTTCGGTCGAAGTTTCAGCATGGGTTCCCCAGTTACGCTGTGGATCAAAATGGGGAGACCTCGGTTGTTGAGTCAACACGAACAGCATGGACATTCCCACAGAGGTCAACCAACCAGCGCTTTGGACGGTTTTGGAGACCCAGGTTTTGACCCGTCGTCCCAAGTGGGACTGCGGGTTTTTCTTTCCCTGAATGGTGTTTTCCCTTCCCGGGAGGTGTTGGCTTCCCGCTCGGGTGTTTTTCCTTCCCTGGGAATTGTTTGTTCCCCTGGTGTTTTTCGTTCCCGTACGCCACAGTGTTTTTCGTGCCCGGCTGGTGTTTTTCAGGCCCTGAATGGTGTTTTGTGGGGCCGCTGGTGTTTATTGTTCCCTGAAAGGTGTGTATTGTTCCCAGCGTTCCGGGTTTGTATGAAGAAGTGAAAGGGTGTTTATTGTTCCCTAGAAAGTGTGTATTGTTTCCAAAGTCTAGCTTGCGGCCGGCTATCGCAAAAAGAACAGAAATAGGAAATAAAAGGAAAGGAAAGGGCACAAGGAGAAGAAAAGGTCTAAACTTCGCTCGTTTGATCTATTCTGTCTGAACTATGCAGAGCTCAGAGGTAAAAACGTTACATTTAGACCTTTTAAGCTTTCAATTTTTTGTTTACATGGTCTAAAAAGTGGATGTGGCAAGGTCTTCACATTTGACACCTTTAGTGTGTGACGTTTCGTAGCACAGATATGAGACACAGGCGGGAAGACATTACACCGCTACATTTGAGATTTTGTTGTACAACAAGCCGTCTTTTGTATACATGGGTGACATGCGCTCACAATGCAACAGTCGAAGTTGTTTATACATTTCGGGAAGGAGCAACATCATTTCAGGAAGGGGAAACCCCCGGGAAGGGGAAACACCATTCAGGGAAGGAAAAACACTCCGGGAAGAAAAAACACCCATATGGGAAGGAACAACACCATTTCAGCAAGGGGAAACCCCCCGGCAAGGGGAAACACCATTCAGGGAAGGAAAAACACCCTACCCGTCCAAGTGCCACACCTCGCAGGCTGCCATGGCGACACACCTCTTCTTTTTCGGGCGTTTTGGAGTGTCGCCATGCTTAGCCGCCATGCTTGAAAGTCCTTACACCCAAGTTTCTCCATCTCCATCTCCATCTGACACGATCCCCATCTCATCCCTGATCCCGCCATGTGACGTGGCTCCAGAGTGCCCGGTCTGCCATGGCTTGTGCTCCCCCTCCCCCACGTTGTAACCTCCAGCGGAGTCCCGGAAAGTCCGCGGTCCAGTCGCATGCAATCGGCTCGTCCAAAAGAGATCCAAATCGGAAAATCCATCTTTCTTTTTCTCCCCCCACTATGTTCTTCTTCTTTAATTTGTAAACATTTGGACCAGTTCCAATGTGGAAGTGATCCAAAACAGTGGAACCCGTTCTTTTAACACAACGCTCGCTCTAGGCTTGACTCTCTTGGCCAAAAGAGTGCAGCCTATGATTTGCCGTTCTCTTATCAAAGAACCAGGAAACACGTGAATGTCCATCTCTGCCAAGCAACTCGGTGGGAAAGGACTGCCTGAAGGCGAGACACAGCCGACTGCAGCATAGCTGCCAAGACCTAGCGATCATGGCGGGTGCTGTGAATGCCGGATTTGCAGCACAAAACAGCCAAACCCTTCCATCACCCTCAAAACACATCAAACTTGTCTTCCCAACTACAACAAAGGAACTGCTGTCATCCAAAAAACTGACATGAACCAACTGTGCCCTCTTCCGCCCCTATTTTGGGCCTGCTGGATGGTCATAGGGCTGCATCTTCGTGCCCCGGGTGTACCACTGCTGCTGCGTACCGGTGAGGATCGCGCCCCAGATCTCTGAGTTGGCCAAACAGCCTCCGGAGGTATAGTCAGTGCCTTGAGGCATTGCGCAAAACCGGCCGTCTGTTTTGCAGCATCTCGCACATACTTCAGGTGTATGGATCAGCTGATCAGCATGATCGGAGCGGCTGCGCACGATCACCACCCAATTTTGTTGGAAGAACTCTCAGCCTCCGACCACCACCACTCAGTGCAAGATTGCCTTGAACTCTCACCTGAGCCATCGTTGCCATGAACTTTACAAGAATCAAGGAGTCATGATCAAGCAGCATCTTTATGGGTGTGTCTGAAATATTAATGTCATGTTATTGAACTCCGACAAGAACATATGCTTCCAAAGACGCCTCAGAAAAGGGGATTGCCTACCACTTGGTAAAAAGACTGGCTCCGCACCCTACAAACGAACCGTCTTACACTTGTCTTCGCGAACAAACACTATCAACTCGAATCACGTCCCGCAACCAAACATTTTTTTCAGAACAACCAGTCCCAGAACGGGTAAGTTTAAGGGAAAACGGGAAACCATGGTTTTCACCCCAAAACGATGGGTTTCCTGTAGATTTTCCCTGAGGCCAATTCTGAGAACTTAGCCTCTTAGTGGCCACTGGCCAGTCACGCGAGTCGTGGTCTGCTACCCTGGAGCCGCGCCTTCCGCAGTGGTGCCGCCTGCGAAACGAAGAAATCCAAGTTTTGTGGGATGTCCACGTTCTCGATGCTACGCCAAAAGGTGTTCCTGAAGCAAGGCATCTGGCGGGACAGTATACATAATAATTAAGTCATATGAGACAAACTTTTTGGATAAGCAGGGGTGTCTCTCCCAAAGTATGAACATCGCCTAAAGATCACATGTCATAGAAGAATGGTCACAAAGGGCACTCAAGGCACACTCAGACTCATAGTTCAAATGCATACGCGTTAAGTTCATGGCCACATTACCGCTTTACGGTACTGCATTAGACGACGGCCCTGTGCACAACGGAATGGTGAAAAGGTCAGCTGAACAGTATTGTTTAAATTCACTCAAGATCAGCAGGTACGTCGATCTGGCGTCCCAAATCGATTTCACAGATGCGACACTGGCGTCTTTGTTGGTGCCAGTCCAGTGTACATCTCTGGCACCCCTTGCTGTGTTGAAGTCCGTGAACAACAGCCGGTGAAAGCTTTTGGAAACAGAGGTGGGCACACACAGTCGATAAATTGCGTACTGAAATGAGCAGGTAGAATGAAAGCCTCCAAAGCCCAAAGCCAACGAACTCGCAAGTCGAAAAGCGAAAGGCTGCGACAGGTTGACGACGTTCGCTCGCAACTGCGGAGTGCATTAGCTCTTTACTGAAAAGTGGGGTCACAGTTTGAGCAACAGTTCAAAAGGAGCAGGTATGTCTGGAAAGCGTCCTTTCCAGATATCAGCCACAATTGCAACCCTCTTCGTTGGACAATCAACTGCAATGTGGGATTCCCCCCCTGCGATAAAGAGTCTTTGAGGTTGGGTAGCTCAACCGTCGGAAAGTGACTCTCGAAGTTCACGATCACAAATGAAAACCGCTCTCAAAAGCAGCCGCGGACTTTTCGCGGACTCGTGGCCATCAGGCTTCAAGGTGCGCATGCCCTTCCAGCTGTCGGGAGGAAAAACGGGTGGTTCGAGCAACAAAGCGGCAAAGCTTCGGCTTCGTCCACGAACCTCAGTGAACCTGTGCAGCAGCAAAAACATGTGATGGCATCACATTCACACCGGTCAAAGGTGGTGTGTCAAGTGGTTGCTGCTGCTTCGGCCTCCTGCTCTTCGTAAAGGTCTTGGCCAAGGTCGTGGGCGCATACCCTGCAAGGCACGAGGGTGTGCGTCACATTCGCTGTGCGCTGGCTCGCACATTGCTGACTTGCATGCCAGCTACTTCCATAGTTGGTGTGGAAGATGTTGGCATTTATGGCAAATCTCAGGCGGTTGCGGGCTCTGACTCGGACTTCTTCTTTGTACCGAGTCCTCATGGTCTCTGCTTGCAGCTCGTAGTTCTCCCGTTGTCGACGGAAGTCCTTTTGGAAGCAGGTTTGTTGGTCTTGTAGTCGTTGTTCAGCCTGCTGGAGCTGTGCTTGTAGGTGAGTGTTCTGTGCCTCGAGTTGTTTTATCTGTCTCCTGAGGGAGATGAGTGTCTCTGGCTCGACATGTGTTGTCTCGTAGGTGCTGAGGGTCAGTGCCATATCTGGATCCGGCGGTGCCGGTTTGGCATATGGTGTAGGACCTCGTGCAGTGCTGTGAGCTCTTGCTTGTGGTCCATATCGGTCGTGTCCAGGTGCGGGTGGCTGGAGAGAGAGTGTCTCTTGTCGATCAAATCGTGTTCTCTGGTCGCGGAAGCTCTCTGTTGGTGCTGGTGGTGCAAAAAGATGCTGCTGATGTTCTGGAATTTGTCCACCATCATAGTGTACACTTGCCGTGGTGGTATGTGGTGTTGGTGCACCACGTGTGCTCGGTGGTGGTTCTGGTTCACCAGTGCTGTCCTGTTCTGTGATCTCTGTAATGTTCAGATCAACTGTTGGTGCTCCTGGTGGTGCCCCTTGGCGTGACTGTTCATGAGCTGTTGTTGTGTCGGTCTGTGGTTCATCTCCAGGTGCATGTCCATCTCCATCCTCATCCATCGGTGTTGGAGTGGTAGTGGGAACATTCGGTGGACTGCTGTTGGAACCGCTATGTCGGTCTGTTCTCAGGACAAAGGTGGTGCTTCCTGTCCATCGGAATGGCATGGATCTGGTGGCATTTGGCAATGTCCAGTCATCTTGGAAGACTGTTCTGTTTCGGGCCGGTTGGTGTGGCCTCATGATGACGGTTCTCCGGATGTCCTGGAAGTTCTGCCACGGTGCTGTGTCGTCATTGTTTGGCGTGTAAAGTGCCTGTCTTGGACTCACATGGATGCGGTGCCATGTGATACCATCTTCTTGGATGTCCCAGTAGTCCTGCTCGGTTGGTTGTGGATCTGGTGCCATTGCTTCGGTGTCTGGTGCTTCTGGCATTTCTTCCTCATCGTCAGTGACAATCTCTGTTCGTTTCCTCTTGTTGGACTTGATGAGGTCAGTGTACAGTGTGGTGCTTCTGCCTCGGATGTTGTCCAGTGCTTGTCGTGCTCTCTGTAGTGGATCTGTGTCGCTCTGGTGGTTGAGGTCTGGTCGGAGATGTTCTCCGGAAACTCGTAGGAGTGTTGAACCGTGTGTGATCCAATACGTGTTTGTTGCTGGGCCAGTTCGGCCTGGTTCTGTCATCACGACAGTTGCTGGACCCTTCCATCGGATCTTTGGACCTGCTCCTCCAGGGGCATCTCTCCAGTAGTAGACCAGTTGTCCAGTGGAGTAGGTGTACTGTACTGCTTGATGCTGTCTGAGGAGTGCTCGGCGTAGTCGTGCATCGTTGTCTGCTTCGATCACTGAGATCGCTGCCTGTTTTTGCAGGTGTAGCTTTTGCTCCATGGCTTCTGAAGGCGTCAGCTGTGCTGTAGTGAGGTCGTGATCCATCAGGACACCGGGTATGCGTGGTTGCATGCCCATAGCCCACTGTGTCGGACTGAAGCCTTGGACATTGGTGGTGTTGTTGATCTGGGGGATCACGTAGCATAGCGCCTGTGTGATCCGCTCACGGGTGCTCATGCGCTGATCGAAGTCTGGTCTCTCTTGTTGTGCTGCTGTGAAGAGTTCGATGCCTCGTCGTAGGACTTGATGTCTTCGCTCAAGCACGCTTAGTCGTGTGTGTGCTTGGCCTGGTGAGATCTCCAGTTGTATGCCGAGGTCGCTGGTCCATGTTCTTGTGGTGTCTGAGCTCCATCCTCTGTGGTCGTCGACTTGGAGGAGTGTTGGTGGACCAAAGTGTCTGATCCATCCTCGTTCAAGTCCTCGGATGAAGTCATCCGATTGTTCAGAGTCAATGACCCGAGCGGACATGAACTTAGTGGTGGCGTCGATCATGCTGAGGACTGGAACTGCTTGTGGCTTGTGGCCATTGTGTAGTCGCGGTAGGTGTATCCAGACTGTGTCTGCTTGTACTCTGCTGTTGAAACTGCCTCCTGTTCGGAGTGTGCTCTTGGCCACTTGTGGTGGTGGTCGGTGTGCATCACATAGTTGGCAGTGATGTTGTTGCGCAGCTGCCACAATCGAAGGACTGGCATTCTTGCTCTTGAGGAGCTTGGCCAGCTCGAGATTAGTGGGGTGTCCAAGGTTTCGGTGGATCCTCTGGACTGTTCTCTGAGCTGCTGACCATTGTGTCTCTTGTAGTCTGGTGAGTATGCCTCGGTTGTTGTCAAACTGTTCGTCGCTGTCATAGACTTGTGGCTGTTGTTCTGCCACTGCCTGTTGTGGCTGTAATGCTACTTGCTGTTCTGCCGGTTGTACTGCATCATGTTCTGCCGGATATGCTTCTTCGGTGGGTGGCCAGTACTCGGTGAGCATGAAGGTGTTCATGATCTGGGCCCACTCTCTGCACATGTCTGTGTTGTAGCTGCCAGCTGCTGCGGCTCTGTTGCCAATGTGTGGGGAGCTGCCCTCAATAGGGAGGTGGTAGTGATTGCTGTGGCAGACTCGTTCGAACATAGAAGCCAGGGTGCTGTCTGTGATGCGTAGGTTCGTTGGCTTCTTGATGTATTGTTCGTAGCCATTGGAGTCTGGTAAGGTTGCTCCGTATTGGCATTGGTCCACATGTGCATCATAGCCTTCTAGCTGTTGTAAAGTTGGTGTGTCCCAAGATGTTGCATACTTGGGGTGTTCAAAGATGGAAATTCGCTTTTGGTTGTGTTGCTTGTTGTGGATTGTCTTGCTGAACCGCAAGTGGGTTCCTTCCTCATGCTGCTGCTGTGCTTTCAGTCGTTGCTGGTCTGCCGGTGTCTTGGCGTTCAATCGCTGCAGTGGGGACCATTTGGTGCAAGGTGGTGCAACCCAAACAATCTCTGGGCTCTGGTGGTAGTACAAGTGGATGAACTGCCTCTGGTGGCTGGGTTTGGTGAAGTCCCATCCGCTGAGGATGTCGAAGGTGCGGACTTTGTATCCCAGTTCTTCCATGTGTGTTGCTAGCACTGCGTCACCAGCGTAGACTTCCCAGAATTGCATCTGGTGGCTGTCATGTGCTGTGAGTGTTGTCTCGAGGGTGTGCTTGTAGTGTCGTGCCAGCTGTTGTTGATGTAGTCGGAAGCTGCGGACCAGTTTGTCCGTCAAAGTTCTGCGATAGCCGGTGTCATCATCATCTTCTGGGTCTGTGGTGTCGTTTGTTTCTTCTTCGTTGAAGTTGTCATCATCGTTGACCTGCATGCCGTGTTCTCCCAAGTCGGGAGGTGCTAGGCCTGTGAGCTCAATGTAGTGCTGAAGCGTGTAGTGCTCTGCTTGTGCAGGGTCTTGTGTCAGCAGGTTGTAGGTCTCTTCCATGATGTAGTCAAACTCACAGCTGCTGTGGTCCGGTAGGTCGGTCAGACCTTGATCCAGCTGTAGGAGATGTTCTCCTCTGGAGCCAGTGATGATTGGTGACCACGGGCCTTCATCAACTCGCATGGTGTCTTCCATGAAGTTGAGCTGGAGTTTCATGGCCTTCAGAATTGGCCTGCCGATCAGGAGAGGAGTTGATCCAGGAACAACGAAGGCCTGCGTGCGGCCGAGGTGCCCTTGGATGCAGACTGGCATGTGTACTGTCCATTGTGCTTCAAGGCTATTGTCTCCGCCGAACTGCAGTGTTTTTTGTGCAGGACGGAAGTGGAAGCTGGAAACATCGAACCCTTGTTCGTGGTAGCTTTCGATGTAGTTCATGAGGATGTCATGGCCAAGGACCATGCAGCTTGCTCCACCATCCATGGCGCCGAAGAGTCCCTTTGGGATGCGCTGGTAGTCCTTCATTTCGAACTGGACCATCATGGCGTTTTCGGCTTTTGCCTTTTTGGCAGCATTGGTGGGGCTATTGGTGGTGCTTCTCTTTTGAGTGCACTGTGCTGCAAAGTGTCCAGGTTGACCACATCGTAGGCATGTCTTGGCTTGGTTCAAGGCTGTGCGGCCTCGACTCTTGGCATCACCTTTTTGTGGAGGTGACTTGGAGCCCTGCCCTTTCCCTTTTCCTTTTCCTCCCTTGGAGCGAGGAGGATATGGCCTTTGAGATGATGTTGGACTCGATGAAGTTGCGCCATCGGTCAATGCGACCACTGGATAGAAGCCTCTGTTGTTACGCAGCTCAGCAAAGCGGCGCCTAGCATCCAGGTAGGTGGCATAGGCTTCCTCGTACTCAGGGTCTTCTTGATCCGGGTAGTCCTCATCGTAGCCGGTGTAGTTGGCTGTTTCATCGCCAAACTCTTCATCATACTCTTCTTGGGTTTCCTCATAGTAAGCCTCGTCATACTCAGGCTCATAGGTCTCTTCCGGGTCGTCCATGTAGTCGTCCTCGTGCATGGTGTAGGCCTGAGCTGGTTTCTTCCATTTGTTGAAGCCTTTTCCTTTTCCCCCAACTGGACGCTGGGAGAGTCCAACCTTTCCCCTGTAGTCCTGGCCGTACAGGTAGTACATGGCTTCTTCAACTTTGCTTTCTTCGAGGCTGGAACCACATTGGCTTTGCACCAAGTGTTTCTGGTCTTGTGAGAGACCGCTTCTTCTCAGCATCAGCCAGCCTGTGATCTCGGTCGGCAATTTGATGCCGTGTTTTTCGACTTCTCGGAGCACTTCTCGATGTTCAGCGCAATACGACATCAGTGTCTGGTCGTAGCGCCTGGTGAGGCTGTAGAAGAACTTCTCGAAGGATCTGGGCTGTTCGACCCGTGCATCGTAGCGGAAGGTCTTGTCGAGGATTTCGATCACCTTGGTGAATCCTCCTTCTTTGTCTTCGCTTGCCGATTCAGCTATCGGCTCGACTTGCTTCCAGGCTGTTCCTGACAGGGTTGTCAGGAGGTTGATGACTCCTTCTTGTGGCTTCTTTTGCAGAACCATCTTCTTCTGGTAGAGGTGAATCCGAGCCCTCCATTCCTTGTAATCTTGAGGCCTGTTGCTGAAGGTCGGCACCCAAGAATCTTTACTTGCATCCACACTCGAAGATGATGCAGCAGATGAACTTGCCATCGAGCTCGACCGGGAGGTAGTAGCTAGCAGCAAGCAAGCAGGAGCCCTGAGCCTTGCGGCTCCGCTACCAATTTGAGGTTGGGTAGCTCAACCGTCGGAAAGTGACTCTCGAAGTTCACGATCACAAATGAAAACCGCTCTCAAAAGCAGCCGCGGACTTTTCGTGGACTCGTGGCCATCAGGCTTCAAGGTGCGCATGCCCTCCCAGCTGTCGGGAGGAAAAACGGGTGGTTCGAGCAACAAAGCGGCAAAGCTTCGGCTTCGTCCACGAACCTCAGTGAACCTGTGCAGCAGCAAAAACATGTGATGGCATCACATTCACAGAGTCTATCAAAGTAGAGGTTGAGCCCAAAACACGGCAAAAAGTGAGAACAAAGTCAACGGAATCCCTGTGACTCCAAGGGTGTCACACACACACACACACCACCACGAAGTATACAGTCTCGAAATGCGGACATCTTATGCCCTTATAGCAAGTCGCTTTAAGATGCTTTAAGAAGTTATGTGTTATGCTTGAGCCCATTCTCCATCTTCAGGAATCTTCAGGCTTCCCCCTTTTCTTGACGCGACGGAGCGCGACTCTCTGCTTCGAGCCAAGGGTCGTGTTTGGTAGACCGCCTGAGCAATTTCTGACGGAAGCATCACTTTTCAAACCAAAAGCAAGGAGCAAACAAAGCAGACGTGTCAGAATTGTTTCAGCAACTATTTGCTGTATGTAGGCATGCTTTTGTCTCCTCTTTTGCTCGCCTGGCTGTTGCCCCACTTCCAAGCCGATGCCGTCAGGCCCAGGCTTTGCGATGGTATCCAAGGGTGAGGCCCCAAGGCCCAGGACTTGGAAATAGTAAGGCAGCAAAATATCCACCTGCGCCGCTGAACACACGCAGGGTGCTCACCACCCTTTATGGTGTCCGAGACCTGCCAGAATGCTCACCACCTGAAGCAGTAATGCCCTTTGTTCCTAGTAGCTTTGCCAGGAGCTACTAGTAGCGTCCTTGCTCCTAGTAGCGATGCCCTTTGAGGGGCCAAGGGGTTGGATTGGCAAGTCTTCGCCAAACGATGCTGCTTCGGATGACCAAAAGACGGAATGTGCGGTTGGTGCAATTCGCGCGCGTGGGGTTCGCCTGGTGCACGCCAGGCTTTAAGAACACAGCCGTTCGGTGATTGCCGAACTGGCCAGGCTCGTCCCAGCTAATCTCGGTGAGAAAGGTCGACTGAACTCTGGAAACAAAAGCAAATTTGTCTGGCTGCCCGTGGTATGGCTCTTCCGAGCATTGCAAATCAGAGACATTAAACACGTCGTGTTGGAAGGTCAATGAGTCAATGAAGCCGCGGCTCTGTACCTCACGTTGATATAAAGCCAGGAAACGTAAGCGTTATACAGCTCAAGCAATTTTGCCTAGGCAGTCGCACAGGCAGTCCAATGAGGTTCAAAGCACTGTGTTTGCCTTTGCACTATCAATGTCTTTTCCCCTCTGCCTCTTGCACTTGAATTTGGGTGTGGAGGTTTCGAGAGTGTGTTCTCCACCTTCTTCAATGTCTTATCCCTTGATAACTCTTGCTTTGCACAAAAAGAGATCACTCGTGTCACCAGAAAACATGGAACAATACAACAGTGTGGAGGCACTTTCATACATAGTATACGTATCTGTGTTGCATACATACAATATATTCATGTAGTTATATATATATATTTATTTATATTTAGATATAAACACAAACATAATATTGGTATTTATACAAGTCGCTTGCAATTCAACGGGCGTCTCTCCGGGCTCGATCACCTGGCAGTTGCAAACGACGGTCGAGTATCCCACAACATCCCACAACCAACCCAAATGAATGAATCATACATCATCGGTTTGGGCAGTACACAATCGATTCACAAGAACCATATGCATCCCATCCAAACACCTTAATTTATCATCCTTTTATCCAACAAAGTGTTGCACATGATCGATTCCCAAGCCAAACAAAACGGGGCCATGATGGGCCATGCGTAACACGGAAGCTTGCATTCTGGCACCAGTAAGAACATCGTGCAAGATAGGTCAAAGCCTAAAGTCAAACACGTCAAGACCCTCCTTGGCTCAACCTTGGCCACCGATCCTTTTTCGCTTGTTGCGTTTCACCAAACTGTCGATGCCCAAGGGCCATTGAGTTCCGTGCTCGCTTGCGTTCGGCACCAAGGCACAATCACATTGGGCCCAAAATTCGGACTTCTGTGAGACCTCGGGCCAAGAGGGGGTTTCCTACAAGTACTTGGGACTGAGACAACATCGTGCCCTTTTTTGCACAGATCGATCTATTCTGGGGCCATGTTCATTCTGCCAATCGCATTTGGTCCCTTTTCTTTTGGATTTTTGTGAGGTTGAGGATGGTTGGTTGAGGACCGTTGAGATGCCTCTGTAGCGTTGACACGCATCAAGCAACTATAGTAACTTGTCTTTTCTCAAATACTGTAACTCTTGAGAGTCTTGAGAGATATTGAAAGCCGTTTTGGCCCTCTGACCAGTCGGCTGAAAATCAACAAATTCAATTTCGGCATTTCGTTTTGTTGACCGAGTTCGGTCTGAAAAACGTGAATTCAACGATGCATATGCCTACCTGTACAAGATTTGCGCAAAGAACTTGACACCAGCTGACCCAACTGTAACAAGCTGCAGCACCTTTCCTATTTCCCCGAAGGACTGTGCACAAAGAGCCTTTGCCTTCGTGCAAGGTGCAAAAGCTATTATGCTGTAGAGCAGCCATTGCATGTGTTATCGTGTTGCCACCGGGAAGAGTGAACATCGCCAACTGGTAAACCAAAGAAGTGCCTCGGACTGAAGATCCTCATTTGTGCTTTCTGGGTCCCTTCTGACAAAGACCCAAGTCTGCCATGAGATATTGTCCATGCTTGGTCTTGTTCAATTCCTGGCGTACGGCGGTCAACTTAGCAGTCTCCAGCTTCCAGTCGGTCTTGGGGTGCTCGACAACGGCTCGGGCCACGTAGCAGCCATAGCGAGAGAGTGCGAGGTCAACCAAAGAGGAGGACAACTCTAAGAGCAAGGACTCCTGGTAGCAGTCAGAGCAAGATGTCAAAACCCTCTCAACCAAATAACTGGCATTCTGATTCTTGGCAAAGGCCAAGGGGTTCCCATCGATCGTGGCCGCCACTGCATCACGGTGCTTTTGACTGCCATGCTCCAGGATGGCTTGAGCTACATGGTGGCCAAATGGGTGGCAGCACAAGTCTTCTGCCTCTTGCAAGACTTCCTCCACCAGTTCCTGCGTGGTCTCTTGTGCTGCATGGAACTCGATCAAGCGGCAGAAGATCCGACAACCGAAACGATGCCTGGCCAAGTCGGCGGCGCTGTGCCTCAACTCCGAAGCCACGAAACTCGCACCTGGACGCCATGTGAGTTGGGTGACAATCTTCTGCAGAACGTAGTTGGCATGGGGCGAGGTCAGAGCCTCCTGGACATGAGTCTTCAACTCCGAGGCCAGGTTCATAGTCTGCTGCTGGTTGCCGCGCTCCAAGGCAAGTTGGACCAGCCGGCACCCAAGCGGATGTCGAGACAAGTCCCAAACATGACCACTCAAGGTGTCCATCACTTGGGACACGTCCCTATTTTCTTGCAGCTGCTGTTGAAGCTGCTCACAGCTGTTCTTGTTGAACCAGGCCATTCCTGGGTTGGAGACCCGGCCCGGCACCATGGGAATCTTCCCAAACGTGCCGCATCTCGACTCCGACTTTCTTCCTTTCGCCACGCTGGACAAGCCAGGTCGCTCACCTTGATATCCTGATGATTCATATCCTATTTGAAGCGTTGATTCATCATCAAGAACAGGAACTACACCTGACAGCAAATGAGGAAGATCTGTCGGCGAGCTGCTGCATCTCTTAGAGAAGAACGGGGCGACCGGAGGTGGACTTCTTGGTGTCTCATGCCAGTACATGCTGGGAACTGCAACCATGGCCATAGGTGACCTTCACAAAGGGATTAGTTCGCGCAACACAACTCCGACCCAAATAAGGCTGGAACCAATGCTACAGGTCTCAGGCTTCAAAAGGACCTCTTCGTTTTGGACGGTTTGTGGTACATTTTTACTCTCTGCTGAAGGTAGTTACCAAAATACTCCTAACGGCCGTGGCACAGCTGCTTAACTACCAGCATCTGGTTTCAGTAGGTACCCGGACTCTTGTTGCAGGGCTGCCTGCCGTCTCCTGAGTCTTGCATGCGACATCACAGAAATTCACTGCCCAAACGGGAACTCTTCTGTCGGCTTCCCTTCAAACCACCTAGTAACCAAGAATGACAACTCCTGGCTTTAGCAAAACCTATCTTCAAGAAACTATATACTTTGCTTGCGAACGATCTTCTGATTCTTCCAAGAGTCGGTGTTCCCTGAAGAAGCCCTGCTGCATCGGCTGCATCCACTTCACAATGCACACCTCTGTCATTGATTCATAGAACACTCAAAAACAACATGAACAGCGATGCTTGTTTCACCGGGCTCAGCTCATACTCCAACATGTCTGAAGCCTAGTCTTGTCAAAATCACTTACTATTGAGCATGTTCGCAACATCTCTCTGATGTAGCATCAACTCTGCAGTGCAAGGTACTCTAACAGGTTTCCTGCCCAGAACCCATTGATTTTCGCATGTTTCTCGGATGGTCGCCTGTGCAGTCGCTGGCACACACCGGGGCCAGGGCCAGGACTAGCCAGGTCCTCTCAGGCTGAAGTTTTCTCTGAAACCACTCCCAAACGCTCAATGTAAGCCAATATGGCCTGCATTCACCACCAAAAACCACCAAATACGCCATATTTGCATACATGGAGTGTTTGGGACTTGAGGCCAGAGGGGGTGAACGAAAGCTAGCTAGGGGGTGAACGAGAGTCTGGTCGTCAGGGATGGGCGCTGCTGCGCTGGGTGCTCTGCTGGCGCCGGGTCGTCGGCTGCTGCTGCTGCTGCTCTGGGTCTGCTGCAGCTGCTTGGTGGTCCCGCTCACCGCGCGCAGGGGGGAGTCGAACCCGCGGGGGGGGGGGTCCATAAGATTGATTTAATCAATTATTTGAGGTTTCTGAGGTGCGTCCACCCCGTCACTTAACTTGCTAAAGCAAGAGCAACTCCAGCTAGCTAAGGCTAGCTTTCGTGACCAAACACCGACGCGTTTTTCTGCGTCTGGGTCCATCCTCAGCATGGCGGGAGTCGCTCGCATGAGCGCACAGGTGACAGGAACAGCTTGAGCCAAGTTGTGGACCCAAAGGCACAGGAGACACACACTAAAGTATTTACTACCCTTTCAGAACCCTTTCACATCCACATCCGATGGCCTCCAAAGTACTTACCACCCTTTCACAGGTTCCGGAAACCAAGAACACATCCAATGCAGCCGAAGGAATGTGCCGCGGCCTTGCTCGCAAACCGCAGTACAAATGTGGCATCTTCGACTCAGACTGCCACATTGTTTCTAGCAAAAAATCCTGTAGCATGCCTCAGTCTCACAAAAGGCTTCTGTCATTATGTTTCATGAGCATCGGGATGCGCACAAGAAGACAGCCGGAACTTCTCTCTGCGCAGCCACAACGGCCTTCAGTTCAGGCGGTTAGAAGCACTTGCAGTTGTGAGACATCTGCGCGTGAGCTGGCGCAAAGATCACACCGTCCAGCAGCGTTTTTTCTTGGAACACGAATATTCCGAACCTAGCCTCCGCCAACCTGTATCTTTGGAGTAGGTAAAGTGCAAATTTCTTGGAACAGATTCTTCCTTCGATTCCTTCGATGATCAAGTCGTGCAGCTGAAAGACCTAACATAAGTCAATGTTCTACAGCCCGAATCTGCATTCAAAGGATGAGACCATGCTCAACAATAACAACAACTGAGATCTGCTTTCGGTTGAGCTTGGTGAAACCTTTTCCAGGCTGGCTCAGTCAGCCGACCTCAAACAGTTGCAGCCAGGTGCCGGCTCTGTGCATCGTTGGATCACCCAGGTTGTCCAATCGAGAAAGTGAGTGATTGCTAATTGTTAAGGTCTGTTGATGGAATCGCCCTGAAAAGACAGCCTCTATTCCTTTCCTGCCTTTGCCATGATACTATCCTCCTGCTGATCAGCATGGACTCGCAAAACCACTGGTTTGTAGAGGAGAATGGTCTTCCATTTTCCACGGGGTAATTTTCAGGGTCTATGTTAGTCTCCCGAAGGGTATCTATGTATATAATTGTATATATATATAATACGTAAACGATCAAAATCATAATACATAGTTCTTTGCGCAATTGCAAAGAAGAAGTCCATCGAACTCTCAGAACGACCAAATGCTTTACTCATTGAGATCACTCACAGCAACTGGTCGAATGGCTTCATTGCACCTGCAAAAAACATTAGCCATTGCGATTCATCATATGAGGTTAATGTTGCACATCATAAACATTTTTGATATCACCAATATCCACAAATCAAGCAGCAGTTGCGTGGACGAGTAGCAATCGGAGGAACATCTCAACCATCTCGATGATTGGCAAACACAGAACAATTCGGACCAATTGCGACAAAACACAACAAATACTTCAACTTCAAGTAGACATGAATTAGACCTCCTTTTAAACAGCATGTTTGATCCTTTTGGTATATTTATGCGTGTTTGTTTTTATCTTGACCTTTTGTCTGCTCAAAACACCATATTTCTCGCTTCACCGTCCATCGCTTCGGTCCACTCTGTCGCATTGAAGGGTCAAAAAGCAGTCGAGGAAGGGTCAACGGGAAAGGAGCCAGTTGACCAAACAGCCTGCGGTCCCAACTCTTACAGTAAATGTATACCTCCTGAAATACTCATAGAGGGCATGTACATAAACTCCTGGCCTGGTCTCTTTGAACTTACATGTCATGTATGTACACTCTTTGAACTCATTGAAGTGGATCGCCCCGAAAGGTCCGAAAGGACCCTTTTCCCAAGACAGAACTAGTATACACAGGTGGTTTTTCACTTCCATGTTAGTGACTCGGAGTGCAAATGTGCATGAGCCACCCACTGGGTGATATTTTAACTTCCAGCCATTTTCCAGGCAACTGCTGGTTCTGAGGGTCAAGCTTTTCTTCCTCCTTCGCTGGGCGCTGAAGGCTTCCGAACATTGCCGTGTTCATCCCTCTATGTGTTCCATCACATGATACAGGAAGTGCATGCGCTTCACCATAACATGTGGCTGGCAGAAGGTGTTGGATCGCCTCTGCAATGGCTGGAGGTGGTGCCTCCTGTCAAACGGTCCACATCAAATCATCACGTATGTCGTTTTGCTCTGGTATCAGGCAAATCAGGCAATCAAACACTCCCTTTCGGGGTAGCACTGGGTAGCTCATTGTAGTCTTGTGAGATCCCAGTTTTCCTCTGCACAAAGGGATCTCAGTCGGGAAACAGAAAAGTGCTGCAAAAGCGCCTTGGGCCCGGCTGCTAACGCCTCCGAAGCCGACAAGAAGGCTCACGGCAACATACGGCAACCCAAATCCATAGAGACCTCATCGAACAGCAAACATAATGACTCCTCGAATCTCACAAAGGTACAAGACTAGGTACAAGATAAAGTCAATGAATGAGTGAATGAATGAATGAATGAATTGATGAATGCATGCAAGACTATGTAAAAGCCACAGCGCTAACTCACAGGGGTTTCCAGCAATCACGGCGGAGAAACAAAGCTTCTTGGCTATCAGGCTATCAGTGTGTCTCACATGCTCCTAAAGAAATGTAGCTCAAGGGAAAGCCAAGAAGGATCCTTGTCGCTTTCGATGTGATCTTTTCAAACATCCGGACTAAGGAACTTCCAGAACATCCATCAACATCGCATATGGGACATGACATGAAACAATATCACACTCCAGTCACCGGGTCGTCGGAACTTCCACCGATCGGAGCCGCAGCTTTTTTCCACCTCCAACAGGTCCAACAAGTGGTCCTCGAGCTGCACCGCATCCGCCAACTGAGCTGAACACGACGGGAGCCCGTAGATGGGACGCAACGAATCACTGCGGTTGGGAGATTCGAAAAGGACCTAGCTTCTTTTTAGAAGTAGTAGATGCACTTGTTCCTAGTAGCTTCTTGTTACTACTAGTACGGCACTTGTTACTACTAGCGTGGCACTTGTTCCTAGTAGCTTCTTGTTACTACTAGTAAGGCACTTGTTACTAGAAGCGATGCACTTGTTCCTAGTAGCTTCTTGTTACTACTAGTAAGGCACTTGTCACTAGAAGCGATGCACTTGTTCCTAGTAGCAAACATTGTTACTACTTCTTTCTGGGGGCAAAGAAGCGGCCCAGGTGGATTGATGTGGTTCTTGTAGACTAGATGAATCATCAAGCTTGACTCATGGATGAATCATGGATGTCGGGATGATGGATCTTCTTCTCTCTCGAGAATACACTTTGTGGCCACTTACACACCCAAGAATGATGTTGGACATCCTGGGATCTGGCAAGGCTGGTCAACGAAGTATGTGGCGCCAGGAGCACAAGTGAATCTCAACAGTCTGAGGCAAAAGCCAGGAAGGTATCGTGCGGCAGCAAGTCCGAGTCGACAATGGCCTACGACGTTCAGTTCAGCTGAACATCCGTTCAATTGGGATCCACAAATCTCCAAGTATCAACCACCGGTGCTCATCACTATTATCGATGTCTGATTCAAACATTCTTTAATCATCTTTAATCTATTTCACGATAGCAGTATGTCTGTCTGACGATCGGAGCTATTGGTGCTTAGATCCCATTCAGCGCCTTCATCAGCTCCTTTTGGAATGGGGCTTCACCCATCTCGACCGACTCCAGCCTGGCAGCTCTTGAGCTATGGGAATTTTGTCAACAAATCAAACATCTTCTGCTGACTGGTGCTTAGCATATACAGTAAGGGAATGACCGACCCCCCAGTATAGATATCCTAATGAGATCTAATTATATCTAAATAATTAGGTTCCATTCCTTCCTTTCCTAAGCACCAGTCAGACTGGCAAGTTCATAACACCATCCATGTGGTGTACCTGTATACCTCTGAACCAGTCTTTTCTCATCATGTCACCTGCAAGCAATTCTATCTCCACAGTTCCCGACGAACAAGAAAACAAACTGAAAGCATTCTGTAGAAATATCCGATTGGAACCTCTGGAATCAACACCCATAATAAGCTGAAATGCGGACGCAAAAGGTTTTGGACGTCGAGGAGGATGAATAGAACCACTACTTCAATCTCGATCTTCAGGGAATTGGGCAAGCTGCCTCTGTAGGTAACAATTGCTAGAGCAGGGCCCAGCGGCTCAGCCCAGGTAGCTCAGGCATGCTTAGACTACCTTTCGTGGTTAAGCCAGTAATCTTGGGATACAAGAACCAACAGAACAACAAGCATCCATCCAAAGTTGGTCAATCCACGACCACCATGCACATGTTGGGAAGAATCCTCGCTGAGATTCACTGAGTATCCAGGATCCGATGGAGACCGCTCCAACTGCCAGGTCTCTCGAAGAACAAATCAGCCCTCTGCAAGAACTAAGGCGGAAGGGTATAAACAAGAGTAAACCAAAAGCCCAGCAGAATGTCTGGAACCGAAGACAACTTCCCAACTTCCTGACCTTGGCACAAGCTCCTGCTGCAACCAGGAGAGGACTGGCCCAGGTAGCTCGTCGACCTCGCGAACAGGTCTTCGGCGCCAACAAGAATGAAGCCCAAAAGAGTGAAAACGGAGTTGACATCACTCTGCAACCAGTGTTTAGACATAATCTTTGGAGAACTTTGTTGCCAGTGGTTCTTGCAACCCCAAAAAACTGTTCTGCCCCATGGGTTGGATGGCTTGGAAGGGTGCCATAGACAAAGGCCCCATGTCGCCCATCCGCTCGAACTCCTCTGAGGCTTCCACGATCCGTGCAAACTGATCCTGAGAGATCCTGGCTTCTGTGGCCTGCACACGGACTCAGGACCCCAACCGGGCCTAACCCTTAGGGCGTTAGGGATTCAACATGCATTCTCTTTTTACATGTAAAAGCATGTATATAATTAGGCTGAAAAATGCAATGAGATGCCCAAATCACTCCACCGAGGCTTCTCCAGCCACTGGTCGACCAATGACTTGTGCCCATTGGCCGACCCATCGTCACGGTTACCTTGCCTGGTCGATGTCCTTGTAAAACTCCGGCCGCAAGAGGTTGACCAAAACTTCGCCGGTGGACACTTCTACCTAGTAGCAAGGACGCTATTAGGTGGAGGCCATCGCAAGTAGGTTGGAGGCCATCGCTATTAGTAACAAGAAGCTACTAGGGTGGAGGCCATTACTACTAGGAGCAAGGATGCTACTAGGTTGGAGGCCATCGCCGGTAGT